CAGCACCACTAAGGACAAACAGACACGTGTAAACAGTTAGCATTTCATGCATCAACAAGCACAGAGAACAGGTTTAGAAAGACACACCCCCATTTACAGAGCTGACTGTTTTCGAGGTAATATTTATATTGTATCTGAATGTGTTTGTTTCTCCTGAGAACAAATAAGAGCAGGTTTTCTGTCTTTATGCTGAGTAAATGGATAATGACACGTGCACACTGGAGTTAGTATCTGTTGTTATCAAGTTAAAAATAAAACATTTAACTGGAAGAATAAATAATGTTTGATTTTTTTTAACACTAGTGAGTAAAAGTTTAAATTCATAGTTGCAGTGGCTCACGCTTGAATAAGTAGCTGCACCAGACCAGTGTGCCCACAGGTGGCGGCAGCGTGTAGCGGCGTCCACAGCTCACTGTCACAGGCGTTCACAGAGGCACCAGCGTCCAGCAGGCACTGCACTACCTCCACAAAATCATCAATGCAGCACTGGGAAGAGAGGAGGAAAAGGGCAAACAAATCAGATGCAAATGAGAGAGCAAATTACAGGCAAACCCCCAGGAACATTCACAAGCACAAAATATGTACTGTAGCTAAACAACACAACTGTAAGCTACACTGGCTTGAAAGGCTAAATTTGCAAACATGGCTCAGAGCTTTGCTGTGAGACAAACTTTTCCCAGAGGAAGAACAGCTTCAGCTGAGTTTAAAAGGTCCTCTGTACGGACCTTTATATATGTCGATGGTACGGACCAACACCCGACTCGTGAGTGAGAGGTGGCAAACAATCAGATGACATTACAAAGTCAGAAAAAAAGACAAACATTCATGCATAGCTTTGGATTATTATGCTTTAAACGTGCAACTCATAAAACACAGGAATTAGAATATGGTCTCCTTTAAATCTGCTGCTGCTCAAGGAAGCGATAAAAGCTGTTTTTATGTTACAAACGGCTGGTCAAACTAAATAAATCAAAAAATATCTTAGTGTTACTAGATGCAGAGTTAGACTTCATATACACACACATACATACAAATATATATATATATATATATATATATATATACACACACACACACACAGTGGGGCAAAAAAGTATTTAGTCAGCCACCGATTGTGCAAGTTCTCCCACTTAAAATGATGACAGAGGTCAGTAATTTTCATCATAGGTACACTTCAACTGTGAGAGACAGAATGTGAAAAAAATCCATGAATTCACATGGTAGGATTTTTAGATTAACAAACAAACAAAGGGGTCAACGTAGTGTCTAAACCTTGTTTTTGAAATTTACCAAACTAACTTTTTGGTTATTTTCAGTCCAGCTTTGAAGCTGTTGCCAGGCCGCATAGATGTCTTTTCAGCCCAAACAGACTCAGGGGGATCTCAGGGATCAGTTTATATTTCTGTAGCTACCATGAAGAGTGGAAGAAGTACCAAATTTATGTAACACCAGCCAGCCAATCACATCTGACTGGCTAACAGCAACGCAACTCTACTCAATTCACTATGCAACGTTGATGTTTAATCTCCACAAATAACACAAGCCTGAAGGAGTTCTGCTGCGTGGTTGCTAATGCTAATGGTTAGCTTCTACTAGTCAAGATGTTCTCTGCCATTTCCTGGACGCTAAACCGACCAACCCCATCACAAGCCAAGATGAGCGAGTCCATGAATGTTAAGTGACAGTGTGACGTAGATCTGTCAGGATTTTCTAATCCTAGAGTTTCACCGTCTATTTTCTATCAGAAGCTAAAGCAGGAGATAGGTGTAGGAGACTATTTTCATGTTCCGCCTGCATGAAACACTCAAGAGTAACAGATTATAAGCATAAATAATAATTTAAAAATATTTTTCAGTGTTTCACACGTTTAAGGAAAATGTGATTATTTTTTGTATGAAGTATTGCTGGTGACCCGTTAGCAGTAGAGCTAACGGGAGCATGTTTGAGTGCGGGCAGTCCATGTGACTTAGGAGCTAAATGTGGGTTACGGTGACCAAAGTTACTTCTCAGTCTTCTTTTGTTTCCAAATATGAAAAAAATGCACACGAACAATAGCACCAACTACTTCAGCCGAGGTGTGTACCTGATGCAGGGCCGTCAATCCATCTTCATTTACCAGATCTGGGCTCACACCGCTGTTCAGCAGCTCTGTCACTAAAAATTTTTTTAAAAAATCAAATAATTAAATTAAATGAAGGTACATGATACACACACAGACACTGACTGACCAATGGAATCTTATATTCTGCTCAACAAGGAAGAGATTACACTATAATTAGCCTCAATCCTTCAGGCAACAACAAAACCCTTTGAAAAGAAAATGTTGAGCCCATTACAGGTAATGTGTGTCGTATCCAGAGGAGTTCACTTCATTCAAACAGCTGCACATGGTGTGTGGTTAACTTACCCTCCTCCACGTCGTTTCGTGCAGATGAATCTAGGAGAGTGACGGAGTCAGGAAACTTTACTTTGGTGGTGCGTTTCTTCTTCCTGTCTGCTTTGGCCCGCGACCCTCGCGTTGCGTCTTTTTCCATCTGTGCCCAAGCCTTCAGCTGCTGAGCACGTCTCTTCTGGGCATGTTTTAGACGTTCTGTGGCACTCAGACGTCCAACAGTTGCCATCTCAGCCAGCAGCTCACTGTGATCTGCTGCCATAGCGAGCAGCGATTGCTACTCTGCTGTTTTTCCACTTAGCTTTGAGAATATTTGATCTTTTCTCTGATTTGGGGATTTAAATTTTCAAGTCTCTTCAGCCTTCACTCAGGCCAAAAAGGCCTACATCACGGCCTTTAGTAACACCCAAAAAAAAAACCTTTTCACACAAGAATGTGCATAAGAAATATTTAAACCGTGACTAAAAAGGTGATCATCTGATTTTTTTCCATTTTTATAAACACTTATGGTGTCAGAATAAAATCGTAGCAGAACGATGTCCGAAACCTAACAATCCAAGGTTTTAGCCATTTTCCAGTCCTTCCATCCATTTCAACTGTGGCCAATTTTGCAGTAATACATTCAAAAATCCAAACAGGAAGATGAAAAAGTGCAAATATTAAACTCAAACTGATACAGATTGTGCCAAAGACCTCCATTCAACATGGGAAGGACATTTGAGGATCCATGTGGGGAAGAATAGATCCATCATGCAGAAATAAAGATGTTCAGCAACAACTTAAGGAATAAAATCCTCTCGTTATAAACAGAGAACATTCCCTAACTTGTTGTTGGTGTACTTCCTTTAGATGAAGGGCTGGTATGATGGTTTCAGTGACTTGGTCCTCATCCTTGGCGACATTCTGTTGGAAGACAGAGAAGACGTGAGAGCTACGTTACATTCTAATGTACATGCTGCACTCCCAATCCCAATATCTTTAACCCTTGAGCTCCTTCCTCTCCCGCTGCTCTACTGAAGGAAACCCGAGAAGGTGGGACGCTTTTCATTAATGATTGACACTACTGCAGTCCAACACAAACTTCAGCAGGTTGGGGACATCCACAGGGTGAAGCCAAGAGGGAAAAGTGGTTATAATCTGGAGTGCAACATTCTGTTTCATTGTAAAAACTAATGTAAACTCTAGCAAACTCACTTTTTACCTCCAACTTCCAGTGGTATTACACTGCTTGCACACGCACTTGGCTCTTTCCAGGCTGCTCATTTATTATTTAGGCCTTGGCCTGTGTGCGCCGAGAGGAAGGTCAACTAGAGGCACCCGCTAAGATACAGAGAGAGACTGCTAAGACTGTGGTCTTGAGCCACAGAGCTACTGCAGCTAGCAGCCACTGAACAGGTGAGTCATGTTTAGGGTCATAAATCAGCTGATTAGAGGACAACATGACTGGCAGAAAGCAGGAACAAAGCTCCTCCAAGACTTTTGTTTATTACAAACAAAAAACTATATACAGTACATGAATCTAGACTAAATTAAAAAGTAAACAAATTGATATACTATTAACTGAAACTGAACTTGAGGTTTTGTTAGGGTTTTCCTGACCCACTGAAATCTTAACTACCGCTCAGGAAAGGGACTATTTTAAGATGACTATCCTGTCAGCTATTGTCACGAGCTATGTAAGGATTTCCTTAGATTGAGTTAAAACCCAACACTCCCCTATAGGTTGGTACGGTCACTGTATGCACCGTGGATAAAACAATGCACTAATGACTGTTTTTTCAACAATGATGACTATTTAACTGATGTAAAGACTCAGTATTACAGCTGGACCAGGACATTGCACCAGAGCAGGGAGAACCTTGGCTTTAAGCAAAAAAAACAACAACAAAAAAACAACTATAAACAATAATCCTGGTGGAGTTTGCAGGTACGGATCCCAGCTTGTAATCCTTCCCTCCATTATCTGTACCACTTAATTCATACTAGGGTCAGAGGGAGTAGACAGGTGGGGGGCACCATGGAGAAGTTGCCAGTCCACCACAGGGTCATATAGACCTACTCAAGTGTGGCTCGAATGGTTTTGGTCCAGTTGGACGGCCTTTTCTGTAGTTTCCCCCACAACCTTTCAGTACCGGAGCCAACGTGGTTCGAAGTGTACCAAGCCATGTCAAAACACGACGTTAGCAATTATTCACTGACTGGAATGGGAGTGGAGTCAGTGGTTACTTCAGAGTGTTCCGCCTGCAGCCGTTTTGGGTTCAGTGTAAGCCTGAGCGATTGGACAAATTTTTTAGCCAAGCCCTTCGCTGTTCATTTTTTAATGAGTAACATTTTTTATGTCTATGAATTAGTCTCAGCTAGGATTCTTGTGATTCCAGTGATATGTCGCAATCAAGGATACAATCATAACTGTAGACACAGTAAATGCTTTAGTCAAACCACTCGGAATTTCAAAATAATGTCTAACTCACCGTTCAAAGCCTTGTATCGTTGAGGAATAGAGCCATCTCCTACATGAATGGTCTTTTTACATCAAAAGTCCAATAAAATTACTCCAATAAAAAAGGTTGGTCCACAACCAGTCTTAAATTCACAATCCAACATAATTTACTGTGGAAAACATTCTAAATTTACTTCAGACACGTCTCTCACAATCATTAGCATCCAGATTAGGGTTGTCACGATGTGAAAATTTAACCTCACTGTTATTGTGACCAAAATTATCACGGTTTTCGGTATTATCACGGTATTTTTTTAAACATGTTACATTTTCAGACAACTAAATTAACCCTGTACATCAGGAAAATATTGTCCTCAGTTTGTGTCCAAATTTTGCCTAAAATTTGATATTTTGTAATTATGTTGTTTATTTGTTTACATTTGTCCCCTTTAGTCTTTAAAATACCAATATTTGCCCATAACTTCTTATTTTTGTCTGTTTGATGTCATCATTTAAAAATATTAGATCAGATGATACTCAGTACTCAAGTAGCCTTCTAATCAGATACTTTTTTACCCTTACTTGAGTAATAAACCCTATATCAGGAAAATATTGTCCTCGGTTTGTGTTCCAGTGAGCTTTGCAGATTTGGGAAAATGTCATCAGGCAATAATCGTTGTTAAATTCATAATTATTTTTGGAGAGAGACCAACTCTTATCTGCCCCTGGGAGCCCCGTAATGCATAGCGTCATTTCAACATGGGGGTGTCCGCGACACGGTTTATATGCAGGTAGCGGCGCTGCGGCTGCTTTATATAGCGACTCGGTGCATTCTCCCTCAACCCAAATCCTCGGATCACGCATTTTGGCTAAAACGCTAACGTTAGCTTCAGGGTCCGAAATTAAAGTTTTTACTCACCGGCCAAGTTGGCCGGTAGATGATGAAAATCTACCGGCCAAGCATATTTTTTACAGGCCAAAATTCTAAATGATTTAGATCTACCTGAAGCATGTAATTCTATATTATGTTGATTCCAAACAGAGTGACAAAATAATTAAAACATCAATTAATAAGGAAAACAACTCTTTTGTCATTTTTACTATTTATTTATTTATTTTTAGAGATGTTTTTATGAACTCTTTCATTGAAATCTAGTCAGACTCCTTGTTTTCTCTGTCCATGAAGTCTGGCCTCCTGCTTCCGACACCGTCTTTGTGCCAAAGCATTACAGCCTCATTTGGGTCATAGTCCTTGATCTCTGGAGAACACAGCTGCACCATGAGAATATCTGAAAGTGTGTCAGGGCTAGGGTTGTCACGGTAACCGGTGTAGCAGTAAACCCCGGTAAAAAAAAGTTGACAATAATAATAACAGTCTTGTTTAAAAATATATATATTATCTCGGTGGATTACCGTGGCTGCGGTGTAGGCGCGGTGACCCTTACCAGCCACCGTATCATCTGCTGAAGTTGCCGGCGGCACATGCGCACTTTGTTGTTAACGACCAAAACTTTCTTTAAGCTAAAGCTGAAATAATGGCAGGAGGAGACGGCAGCACTTGGGACATTTATTATCCCTCAAAGAAGACAAAGTGGGAAGTATGGGCTTTTTTTTTTTTGGATATTTGAAGAATGCCGAGGGCCAGTTGTCTGTGAAAGGCAGCAACGCTACGTGGTCATCATAATGTAGCCATTGTCTCACGACTCCGCCGTCTCCATTTCGCCACTTTTCACAAAATCTTCTGGTTGCCACTGGTCCTGGTGGTTTTTCTTCCAGTTCGACGAGTTTTCTTTTGGAAGGCTGGCTGACTCCAGTTAAAAACCGCCACATTTCACCGCTAGTTTTAACACGAAGCTAACGGCTAACTTGATAAAGTGATTGAATGGGATAGGTGGAAATGATGTTGGATGCAGCATTCACGTTTCGCGTACGTTTGTGTACGCTGCATGCAGGCGGGAGGAGTATCAGAAATCCATGGAAGATGACTGATAAACATAACTAATTTTGTGCAAACATTTACTCGCCAGGTGGCAGGTAGAGCTCAAAAATTTACTCGCCAAATGGAGCAATTTACTCGCATTTGGCGAGTGGCGAGTGTTAATTTCGGACCCTGGTTAGCTTGCCTTGCGTTGACTGTAGAGTTGTGGGTGATGGTCACGCAGATGTGTCATGAGATTTGAAGCGTTGCTGCCTTTCACAGACACTTTTTCTGCATGTGCTGCAAACAGGATATCCGTCTTCTATCAGCTGTCCCTCGGCATTCTTCAAATATCTAAAAAATGCCCGTACTTCCCACTTTGTCTTCTTTGAGGGATAATGAATGTCCTGCGTGCTGCCGTCTCCTCCTTTGGCCATTATTTCAGCTTTAGCTTCAAGAAAGTTTTGGTTGTAAACAACAAAGCGCGTATGACTGGCAACTTCAGCAGATGATACGGTGGCTGGTACGGGTCACCGCGCCTACACCACAGCCACGGTAATCCACCGAGATAATATATTTTTTAAAAAGCAAGACGGTTATTATTATTGTCAACTTTTTTACCGGGGTTTACCGCTACACCGGTTACCGTGACAACCCTAATCCAGATAGCTTCAAATTTTAGAGTGACATCTTCACAAAACCAATAGATAAAGGTTTACGGTTCAGGTATCAAAAACCATGAGCTGAAGGCAAATAATAAACAATCTGATAAGGAAAATGCCAAAAGGGCGAAAACGTGGTCAGTAACTGAACTGTGGAACAATGGAATGTTGACGCTACGGCTGCTGAAAATTTGACACTGTGGGAGACTGAGGAGAGCTTATAAACTGTGGGCCACGGGTGAAAAACATAACTGCAGTGAGCAGCTGCACAGGATTAAACATACAGACACAAGGTAGAACATGAACCAGACAGAATCACATCATGACAGGTGTCTTAATTTAACCTAGACATGGCTAAAGGCTAGGTGGGTGATGGTGGTCAGCGATGGTTTTAAATTTAAATGCAAAATTAACATTTTCCTTATTTTATTGTCACTCAGGATGCTCACAATACAGTGTGTTTTTGTATCTTTTCCCCTGATGCAATGAATATTACAGAACAATACACTCAATATATATTCTGTGGTCCTACAGTGAACACACAAAGCCCAAGTAACAGAGGATCTCCTGTCACAACAGCAGCATATGCCTGTTTGTCATAATGAACAAATGATCTCGAACGCAGCCTTAACGGTTTAAGTCGCCAGAGAGACAATCTTATTAACAACTTAAACTGTTTCCAGGTAGCCGCCACCTTAAAACCACTGACTGTGGTATTAAGAGCAGTAGTTGATGATATAGTTTTGTGTAAATGTTACAAACATTTTGTGTTAGTATTAGAAAAGTATTCACTTTGCAGACTTTTGGTTGATTGTGAATCATCTGATGAAGACGGGAACAAAACTGCTATTATTGCATTCTTAAACACAAACAGACACTCAGG